AATTCTACTTTATTGTAAGGCTACATTAACAGAATCTTGCAAGTCTGAAAGTACAATTCTCACCCTGTCTCCTTTACTCACTATATACACTATCAAATATGAGAGATTTTACTTAAAGAGGAGACACCTAAAAAAGTCAACTCAACAAACTCGCTGCATTCAACTGCCCCAAATGTCTACACTAGATGCTGCCGAGTGGAAGACGGGTCTGAAGCGACCAGAAATCTAGCTGTCTACAGGAAAGGAAGATTCATACAATCATTCAGACAACAAATAATGAGTAAACCTAACCCTTGAATTGTATGTGGCTGAAAAGCAGCCAATAAAATAAATAAATCATTCTGCACGGGTTCGTTCCCAACCTTGTGTCCATAATACGTTATCTATACTTTTGCCGATGAGCTCCTAATCTGTTGATAGTCGTTTTCCAGCCAAGGAAGCGGGAGGAAAGATTGAAAGAGGGAGGGGGAAACTGTCTTCAAACCCAGCTGGGATGGGCAGAGTGTGTGGGTCAACTTATGGATCCTTTTCATAGTGCTACTGCTGTTTGCGGAGCGGCAAGCATCACTTATTTTCCTGTTGGATCTTGAAATGAATTGTTCCACTAGATCAGCGTTCCTCAACCTTGGCCGCTTGAAGATGCGTGGACTTCACATGCAAGCTGGCTGGGGAATTCTGGGACTTGAAGTCCACGCATCTTCAAGCGGCCAAGGTTGAGAAACACTGCACTAGGTGGAAATCAGCAGTGCTCTTTCAGGCACAAGAAATTATAATAGATGAACGACTGTGACCAAACAAAAGCTGATCATTGAATTGTCTTCCTTCTGTAGCGCTAAATCTGTCCAGATCACCTACCTCCTGCTTCTCTGTCTGTAAAACCCCTGAAATATAATTCAGCATGGATCGGGTACCATTTTCCCCTTCAAGCTTCTGGCGGCTGTTGCCATTGTCACTCGCACCCCCAAATTTTTTTCCTTTGGCCTCCAAAAGAAAGCATAGTTGTTTCTTCCTGGGAACAGACAAGGGAAAAAGGAGATTTACAAGTTTGTCAAATACTGCAGAGCCTTATCACGGACCGAGTTACCTTCATTTTTGCTCATCCATGGGTTTATGAGAACCTGATTTATTTGTTCACTGCATATGTGATCTGCTCTGTGTATTTATTTCTCTCTCGTGCCAGAATTTCAGAACTGCAATCACTTAGTATTTGGACAAACAGTGTCTGTCAAACATGCTTGACAAATACTGTCCATGAAATCTCCAAAACAGTGAGGGATGAGATCTAAAACCCGGGGGGGGGGAGCTCAAATATGAGTGAAAAATGAAAAATAAATACTACTCTGTTCAAGTATGAGGGAGGAGAATGGTTGCGCTGCATAGCCTGAGATACTGAATGGATATTTATGCCTGTAGCAGGAGGCTTCTCATCCAAGGCCCTTGTAACCAAAAAGCCACTTGCAGCTCTCGGCTTAACATTAACACCAGCATCCCTTCGCACCCACAAAGGTGCCCCTCCACTTAATCTCAGTTATTGACCTGCAATCGCCAAGCAGTGAAATCAGGCGGTAATAGGGCACGTTGGAAGATGCCACGTAGGCCAAGATCCCAAACAGTCTTTCAGCCATTATCATGTCATTCTGTGTAACCTGCAGAGGAGGAAGGGAAAAAAGAGGGCTCAGAGGGGCCAAAGGAAAGCAGTTTCAACCGAAGATTTGTGCAAGAGTCCAAACGAGGGCTTTGCTCGGGACCTACAATCCTTCAACAGCTCTTGTGCAAGAGACAGTATAACTGAGGCACAATATCCATACGTATTTAAGGAGGCCAGCAGTGGATCCTCTTAGATTTCCAAACTTGCAAACTGTATCACATTCCCAGTGGATCACAACTAATCAAATGCATACATACATACCTACATGTTTCTCTCTCTCTCTCTCTCTCTCAATGCGTAATAAATAAATACATACCTATACACACAATCTCAGGGGTATAAGAATGATCCAACAAGTTCTCATACAAGTAATTTATGTGGAATTAAGAAAAACATCAACAACGAGATAATATTAGAAATGTAATGGCATATTTGTTTTATAAGATTCTGAAGTACTTAAAGTACTTTCCCTTCTGGGAGGTTTCAATTGAGTTAAGGAGTTTGGCCCCCTTCATCCTCTGCTCTATGATTAACAAATGCCAAGAAAGAACTGAAAAGTAAAGCTTGCAAGCTGCATTTTTAAAATACATTTAACGAGCTCTCAGATGCAAGCCCAAGTTCGTAACCGATTACAAATGATGTTTTCCAAGCCTTTTAAGGTTTGCTGCGTGTCCAGAATCATCCTTTTTAAAGATGCCCCAGTTACAGAATATAGAACACTGCTGTCAAATCAATAAATAAATAAATCAAGCAAGCAGTGTGATTCCTTCCCCCACCCTCCTAATTTCCTGACTGCATTTTGCTTTACTCCTGACTCCAATTTTCTCATGTTTTTTCCTGTTGGAAATTTTGCTTGGTTCAGCCGATACATTTGTTGGCTTATCTGGCACACGCACACATGCACGCACACACCAGAGGTCTTATAAGGAATCTGCCTATGTCAGCAGTGCAACTAGAGTATGAAAACTCTTAAGAGTCCATCATGATTCAGACATCAGAAAGAGGCAGTGAAATTCTCAGAAGTGTTTGTTCGACGGCTGTACACTGTGAATTCCTGTTTTATGGGTGGCAAAAGTCAAGCCAGTTTCAGGATCATCTAAACCCAGCTCTAACTGTTCAGGAAATGTATTAGCTTCTGAGACTAAACAACCATGTTGCCTGACTTGAAGTGAACTGCAGTTACCCTTAGCCACAGTTTATCGTGCCAGACAACATCAAAGAAATTGCATCTGAAATCTTTCTTCCAGCCAGGCAACCGGGAAGAGAAGCAAGGCCTCGAAACACAAATGCAGCGAGGAAACCTTCACTTTCTTACCTCTAATCCATTGATCTTTTGCAGGTTAAAATGGCTCAGCCTAAACAGAACGTAAAACTTCCACAAGGTGAAGGTGACCACCGGGTTTCCCTGAGCCTCAACTGTTAACTGCTCGAGCCGGCGAACTTGGGCTAAGGCGTTGAACTGCTGCAGCATCGTAAGGTTGGTCTCCTTGAATTTCAAGTGCTGCAAGTAATACAACAGGCAAGCAAAGGGAGACGTGAGAAAGGCAAGAGACCGCTGATGACCAAACACCCACTTGGGAACAGTATTTATGATGATGATGGTCAAGGGGGTTTGGGAGGAGCACAGCCAAAATGGACAATTTCATTGTCTCGGCCAGCTAAGAGATTTGGTTAATTTTTCTTCCCAACATACTCACTGCCACCAGAACTGGGGACAGACAGCAATTAAGACGGTTTTAAAGGGGCACGGACAAATTCATAATCAATGGCCATTAGTCCTGATGGCTGTTTACAGCCTCCTTGATCTCAGGCCGTGTATCTGCAATAGCAGTTGGTGGAGAGAGAAAAAATAGAAGAGGGCGATGATCTGTTTTCATCTGTGAACATCTGGAAGGGATCTACTGAAGTCCCCGTGTGGCACAAAATGCTGCGTTAAAAGGGCCCTTAACCTGATCTAGCCTCAACGCTGTGATTTCCAAACATGTAAGTAATTTATGGAACTTGCTTCCTGCAGAATGTCACACTAGCCACAATTTACTTGGTTCCTAAAAGGATTTAGGCAAACTGAAGGAGGAGGGCCAGAGGTCTACAACTGGTCAGGATGCAAACATGGATGGAGTTCCATGTTTGGAGGCTATCTGATATGGAGCATCAGTCACTGCAAGGCAACGAAACAAAGGTGTATTTGACATTTTGTGGTCTATTTGGATTTCCTGCAGGGATCTGCCTGGCCACTGTGGACCGCAGGTTTCTTATTCTGCTCCTACGTGAACCAAGTAAGGCACGAAGGCTTTCTAAGTCTCGCCTAGATCGCTCAAAGATGAAAGACGCAACTTGCCAGAAAATTGGGGAACTTGATCTTCAGTTTTGGTAGCACTGGAACAATTTCATCAAAGTCAATGAAAATAAAAGAGATGGTAACAATGTTTCCAGCCGTCTGAATGCTCCAATTCCGATCCAGGGATTCCAAAGCTCCAGAGCCGTACAGGCACAGCGTGTCACCATCTACTTCAACCAGGTGGGACTCTAGGACAGACAGACCTGGCACAGCTTTGCCCAAAAGCGTCTCCAAAGACCTGGATGGAGAAGAATTGTTATACAGAAGCAGACTCCAGCTGACCACCGTCTAGCAGACATCCAGGCCACATTTTACCAGAAAGGCCCATGGTGGAATTAGCTGAAAGCCCAAATGCCCCTTCAGCCTAAGCCCAATAACGCCACCATGCAGCTGACAGACACGGCATCTTCACAAAATAAAGCATGTTTTGAAATCTGTGGGGAAGTTATGATTTAGAAGTAGGCCTCAAGCTTTGCTCTGATGGATACTCCAACTTGGACGCTGCACTCAGAAGCTGAAAGATAGTCTCTGATAAGATGCTCTTATTGCAGGTGCTAGACAAGCCCTCAAATTCTTTCTGCTCTAGAACATCAGGGAACTTATCTGTAGCCCCCACAGCAATGACGTCATCGTGCAAATACAGTTGTTAGGTAGTTGTGCTGCGACATCTGACGCAGGTACGTCAGCCACAGTGTTAGCGTGATGTAGCGTCAGCCACAGGTTCTTAGCCTTTGCCCGTGGGAATTACTATCCTTCAATTATCAGTCTCCTTTCCCCAATGTCGGCATTGAAACAGGAACACCAGCAGGCATCTGTGCCTGCAAGCTGAAAGAAAAATGGGGGGAAACACTCCAACGGCGTGTTTCCAAGTGACACTGAACATATGCTGTTGCATCCAGGAAACATAAAAGGCTGAGAATCATCTGCTGTGGTGAGGAAGGATAAGGAGGGAGTGGAATTGCTTGCTTGAGCCCCCAAGAGCTTACAATATTCTGGAGAAGAGGTGCTACAAGATTAGAAAGCACAGCAGTATGTCCTAAACCAGAGAGAGTGGAAGAGGGAAAGAAGGGGGACAGAACATAATTCATCTTTCCTGCTCTCCAGGAAAAAAGCGCATAACTTGAGCTCTTTGGTCCTGTATTACATGGGATGGGGAAGGGAGGGGAGGGGAGGGGAGGACCTCATGACATCAACATTCCCTGCCAGGCTGAAAGTTCCTGTCCAGGGCTAGGAATATACTGCAACTATTTGCTACAGGTCACCACCTGTAAGCGTGATGCTCACTTATCTTACATTCACAGGAAGTGCTCAGAGCACAAAGATGTCTTGCAAATGGGGTCCTGTTAATAATGTGGCCCGGTTCTGAATTCCTTACTTGCTTAGCATAAAATTTTATCTCATTTTCTGTATCCAATACGTGAGAAACTGTAAGGTACCTGGTTTCATTTTATTTCTAAGCACATTCCAAAAGAATATATGGAGGAATCCAACCTTTGTGCCAAAACAATTTTTTTTAAACTGGCACCTGCATCAGTTGGAGTATCTCTCTGGAAATATACCTAGTCCCCATCCAGAAGACATTCAACGTGCATTACATTTGTTCTTTGGATTCTGCTGCCCAGATTTCTCAAGCAGAAATAAAATGTTAAACCCTTAGCAAATCCAGGAATAATTAAATTGAAAATTAATTTAGTCGCGCTGACCGTTTTTAGGCACTGGGTCTCTCCAGTTCCCTTCCCTCCAGCAAGACAGTGACTGATTGTACGAACAATCTGCTTCCTCACAAATTAAAAAAGTAAACGGAAAATCCTTCTGAGTCCAGCTACCAGAGACCCATTCCTAACTGCCAGACATGTTCTTAATTTGGGGCCTTCTCCTTGCAAGGCCGAAACCACGGACACTCTGGGCCCCTAGAGGATCACAGCCAAGACTCTGGGACTTCCAGCCCCACACTGATTTGAGGGGGGGGGAGTTTCCCAGCGCCAGAATACTGGCTGTGAACTTTAAGAACTGTGTATCCTTTGGGACATCGGGTTGGAGAAGGATCCATGCTGGGTTCAAATCACTCCCCCGTCGGTGCCTTTATCAAACCACAGGAGTACAGCGCATGAAAGATGGAAAGGCAGGCTGCTCCTAGTGACAACGATGCTCTGTCCTCAGACTTAACCATCTCTGGCGAAAGCGACAGCAGCTTATTGCAAAAGGCAAAGTGTCACTCTCTTGGGTGCTCAGAATGTGACTCCAGAGTTTTCTCCATCAGGGAGGACCAAAGCTTTACTGAGGACTAGGGCAAAAGAGATCGCCAGGGCCTCTTTCCAATTCCCAGCCTTCTGGACTGGCTGGAGCCATCGCGTGCCTTTAGCCAACAGAACAGGGATGCGAAACAAGCCGAATCGCTGATAGGCCCCACCGTAGGCCCAGTTCCTAATTTCCAAAGATATATATATATATGTGTTTTTTTATTATTGTTTTATTACTCTTGTAATTATGATTTATAGAAATGTAACAGAAGCTCAAATATGTGCAGCGTGGAGAAACCACTGACAACGCCCTGGTTGAACTGGGGAGGGGGGCAGCTTTGTCTGCAATGCGAAATCCACTCGTTCTGGGACGCTTTCTTGAATAGGACCCCTCCAAAGTACAGGAGGAGTTGGAGGCCTGTTTACCAGAAAGTTTCCCTGCCTGGAATACAGTCAGGCTCATGGTAAAGGCTGTAAAACTATAACACGGGACATTAGCTGGGATTGCTTTATTTAAGTGTGTGTGTGTGTGTGTGTGTGCGTGCGCGCGCCCGTGTATGCATGCTTTCTTTTTAGAAGAATGAGGAATGAAGACAGTTAATTCTTCCAACATTTTCCTCCGTGAAAGTAAATTACAGTTTCCAGAAAGAATGTGGAAACTTATTTTACACATTATATTTTACGAGAGAGCGCCTGACTAAAGAATTATGGTGTTCAGGATCGAGAAACTAATAAGAATAAACCAGCTTCATAGGCTTTCCCCACTTGGGTAAAAAAAACATTATCCAAAGAATAATTCCTTTAACTGGATGGAGGAGGAAATACCAGAGCTCTCAGGGTGGGGACCAGGGTGGAACAACGAATGTTCGTGGAAGCGACTGCAGGAGACAACTCAAGGATGAAGAAATGCATTTTGTGTGGGTTCCCAGACACACTTTTTCTGTGTCTGCCTTGTTCGGGTATGAAGCTGGGGACAGCAGATGGACAGAGAGAACTCAGTCCTGCCTTCTTCACACATACCAGAGGCAGGTATATTAATGGAACCTGGAAGGTACCAAAATTCAGAGTCCGGCTCACCAGTTTTCTTCTGGATGCCATTCAAGATGCTGTTGTCACCACTGACATCCTACATGGTCTACCACCTGGAGATCTACAGACTGCCTTCTCTTAAAGCAGTGTTGCTCAACCTTTGCAGTTTTAAGATGTGTGGACTTCAACTCCCAGAATTCCCCAGTCCACACATCTTAAAGTTGCAAAGGTTGAGAAACACTGTCTTAAAGGCTTCTGCCCGTCCAATAAGCTCTGCAATACTGGATTCTCTCCAGACCCCTTCGCTCAAGAAGTCTTAACTCACAAGGACCAGCCATCTCAATCACGGCCCCTCTCTTTGGAACAGCTCTGCTCCCAAGATTAGATAGGCCCTCACGAAAACCTGGCTCTTGCAGAGAGCCTTGGGAATAAGGGGGACCGTCCTGTTGTAAGTCTGGAAGTTATGGCTGTTTCTCAAAATGCCATTGCTTTGCTTTGTCTTTATGTATTGTGGTTTTTATTTTAATCTGTGTTTTCTTTTGAAACCCACTTTGAGCCTTGTTGGCTAGAGGGTATATGAAGGGTAATAAATACAGGCACACGTACAGTGCATACATACATAACAACCTGATTCAAGGACACACACTTTTTCTCTTTTGGTAGGGCAGAACAGGGGCTGACAAGTCATTGCCTAGGTTCACATGTCACACCAAGTCATGATTTCTAGTTCACTGGAGAAACCAAAACAGTGGATTCATCCAACAAGCAAATAATGATACAGCTTCAAATGAACTCTTGAGTGGTTCTCAGTTGTCTCAGAGGGGGCTTCCAACTTCCTGAATGTGGAAAATGTTTCCCATCATTACATCCACGAAACCAAGGGAAGAGCCAAGGCGGCTGCTTCAGAGTGCCCCGCATCCTAGAGACAGCCCACTACACCTGAAAATCCCATTTGTCTCCTCTGGCTGGGGAGTATCTACACAGGATCATAGACCAGGATATTCCAAGTAAGGAAGGCAGCAGCAACAGCAGCAAGATCACAAAAGACCCGCAGCACGAGAGGGAAGCTTTCACTCCCCACTGCCTTATCCTCCTGCTGGAATGCCTCTCTGCACAGCGGCACAAACCCATGGCGCCCGATACACCTTGACCAACCTGTTTCTTCTGGGAGAACCAGCATCCCAGGCTGACGATGCATTCCTTTCCACGAAAACTGCACAGGAGGCAAGTTTATAACTTGAGGCTTCCTGGCTGATGGCTGACCTCAACAGCCTTTCCAAGATACCAGACCGTCATTTTTAAAGAGGGAAAAGCTTAAAAGACCACTGGAGCAGATCCATATGAACCAAATATGTTTAATTTTAATTAAATGTCAAGCAAAGGATATTAAATCAAGTGTCAGGTTTGCCTGGTCCCACCTTCTACATGTCCTTTCAAGGCTGAGTAAGTTCATAAGATTGGGGGGAGGGGGGAGGACCAATCTGCTGGCCCTTTTTCATTTATTTATTTTATTTATTTATATATCACATTTATATAGCTGCCCATCTCACACAAAGCGACTCTACTGACCACCCGCCCAGCTTCCGCTTTTAAATCCTTGAAGAAGTACTGATGCCTTTACTGTACAGGGTTCCCCCCCCCCGCCCGACTGGTGTGCTTTTAAAAAAATAAACTTAAATAAATTATGATTATTGGCTTTGGCAGGCCAACTCAAAGCAGTGAGAAAAAGACCCAAATAATTCCAGAAATTATCTTATGAATCATCAACAAGTAACAGCGAAGGAAGAGTTTCTTGTTAAAATAACACAGGTGCCGGCCTCAACCGGGGAGAGAGATGGCCCGACTGGGGAGAAGCTGTTCCGAGGGGCCTGCTGATGGCAGCCATTCATGCGCAAAGAATTAGCAGCTTCACGCAGCTGAATCTGGCAGGAAGCTGCTGTTTGTTTGAGCTGCAAAACGGGTTGTATATTTTTGTGTAATGCGGCCAATTGGAAGGGGGCGTGTAGGAAAGGAGGGGGGGAAATCAGGATTGAAATACGGATGAAAAAGAGAGTTAGGAAAGGATTAAGAGTTCTTTTCCCTTTTTTTTTTAAATCAGCTAACGACAAAGACCCCTACTATGACCTGCTTCCTCAAAGGTATCTGCTAGAACAGCATTTCTCAACCTCCACAACTCTAAGCCATGTGGACTTCAACTCCCAGAATTCCCCCAGCCAGCATGCTGGCTG